TCGGATTCAGAGACATATAGATTCGAAACATATTGGATCAGAGACATTTAATTAAATTTTCTTACATCTGATGGTCGTGATTCATAACAACAATAATGAATTCTTCAGTGTCATATTGGAATTAGACACATATTGGATTCAGAGACATATTGGATTCAGAGACGTATTAGATTCAGAGACGTATTAGATTCAGAGACGTATTAGATTCAGAGTCATATTGGATTCAGAGTCATATTGGATTCAGAGTCATATTGGATTCAGAGTCATATTGGATTCAGAGTCATATTGGATTCAGAGACATATTGGATTCAGAGTCGTATTGGATTCAGAGTCGTATTGGATTCAGAGTCGTATTGGATTAAGAGTCGTATTGGATTAAGAGTCGTATTGGATTTCAGAGTCGTATTGGATTCAGAGACGTATTGGATTCAGAGACATATTGGATTCAGAGACATATTGGATTCAGAGACATATTGGATTCAGAGACATATTGGATTCAGAGACATATTGGATTCAGAGACATATTGGATTTAGAGACATATTCGATTCAGAGTCATATTGGATTCAGAGTCATATTGGATTCAGAGTCATATTAGATTCAGAGACATATTGGATTCTAGATGTGATAATGTGTTTCTAAACACGATAACTTGCTCTGCCTCGCTAATTATCTTGCCATAGAGCATTCTACAATATGGCCCTAAATCTCTAACAAAATAAATTCAATTATATTCCAGGTCTTTTTTTTTTTAGTCCCTGTTCCAACGCAGTCCGAAAACAGGGACTTATGTTTTGACCTCCGTGCGTCCATGTGTCCATGCTTCTGTGCGTCTGGACTTGTATCTTAGAAATGCCTCGACCAATCACAATCAAACTTCACACATACATCATACATAATATTATACATGTGCACATCAATTTGTTTCACGATCTGTCGAATGGCAGCCATTTTTGTACTGAAAATCATCAAAATTAAGCATTTCTTGGCTGTTTACAGATGGATTTTGTTCAAACTTGGTATATACTTGGGCATTATAGGACCTTGATGCACATCATTTGGTTTTTCAGATAAGCCGACTGGTCGTCATTTTGTTTTAATGAATGTGGTTCTATTAGTGCCATATCTCTGACTTGCTTTGACTGATTATGTTCAAATTTTAAATATTCATTATACATTATGTCATGGATATACAGTTATACAGATGTGCATACATGTACATCCTATGGTATTGTTGCCATAGCTACTGAAGATGATGTCTATTTCTGTTAAGCCTCTTTCAACTATTTATAAATATGCCATTTAAACAGCATTAGCTCAGTGGATCTTAACAAATTGGGGATTATAAGATACTGCATTTTATTCTGAATTTATTTGTAACTACCTATGTAACATGTATCATATGAAATTATCACTACAGATTTTAAATCATTAACATAAAACTAATTATGTAAAATCCACCTGTGTTCTGAATTGCACAAATGTACTTGTAATAATTTTTAGGATATAACATGGTGGTTCATATTTTCAGTCCTCAAAATGTAAATATGTATGTAACATTGTTTTCTCCACCAGACTTTCTCGGCTAAATTTATTCTGCACTTTTTTCTTATATTTTCAATATTTCTGGAAATTTGAATCAATTTTAAATTTTTACTCAACACATTTGGCTTTTTTTTGTACCAATCTTCGGAAGGAAAATGCAGACTATAAACAGGACTATTTTGTGAATTTGTGATGAAAAGAGGGAACTGGTGGTGAAAAAGTTAATATCAATTATTTGCCCAGAGAAGTTTACTTGTGTGGTGGTGTTAGTACATACAGAGTGTTTAGAGATCAATAAATTGAGCAAGTGGTTTAGTAATCTAAACCCGAATCCAGTGTGGTTGAGCACAGTGTAAGTTGTATTATTACAATTAAATATGGTCAATTGACAGCCATTTTTATTCATCTCAATCAAGACAGGACATTTCAAACTTTCAAGTAAATGTTAAGCTACTTACAAGATTGTGCCTGATTGGCTGCCCAACCATAACACCTAATTGTCTGACCAATCAGAGAGCAGCTTATATGTTTATAGGTTTTATTTGACATATCAAATCCGGCCTAAAACTTTCTATGATGAACATAATAATTTGATGTAGATGGGGTGATCACCAAACATGCTAGTTAACAGATTCAACTCATGGCCATTATATCTCAGGCCAAAAAAAAAATTGTTTTGTTTCCCTCAGCGGCCGACCGAAAATTATGGAATATCGGGTCACGTTTTTTCCCCCATATACCTCGGCTAATTTATCCTTAGTTTTCATGAGTTTAAAAAAAAAAAAAAAAAAAATCCGACCGACCTAATTTTTTCAATTTTTTTCCCTCATTTACTATGTCAAATGATATCATAATCATAATTTTACAATTAATCTTTTGATATCACTGTACACATTTTAGTGACTTTGAAGTATAAGAAATAGAATGTATTATGCATGTTGTATAACATTTTACTTCTTGATTGAAAATTAAAAAAAAATGTTCTTCATGAACAATTTTATTTTTATCATCTGGTCTCACTATGATTTTCTTTCCCCTACAGATATACTTTCCTTCAGATTGGCTGCCATTTGGCAAGATTCATACTGCGGATTTTATGCAGATATCCTACTGCATAACTGTACCATTCTGTCTTTTAAAGGTTAGTATCTTAAGGAGTCAAATCCCAGCATAGACAGAAATATTCACCAGCTTAGAGGATCCAGTCCTCACTCCATTTTCTCTTGCTAGTTTCTAAAAAGAGTCTGTCAATTTTATGATCACATTCTAGCTTGCTCATGAGATTCTGCTCAGAATCTAGCAACAATCTGTGTATTTTCTCATTAGATTCTTACTGTCAGTATTAAAAAATAATTTCTGTTCAGAATCTCACTGTAGCCAATATGTCCTTGAAACACATTACAAAATAGTGGATGAGGTTTATAAGCTTTTAAATCTGCTCCATGAGGAATTGCTAAATCCAGCTTCCAAACCCATGGATTATCCTAATATAGGTGATGGAATAGCAGTTAAAGCACGTGATAACAGTATGTGCTAAAAGTTAAGTGAATTTGTTCACAAAATATCTTGCATAAAAGCATTAGGCAATCAAATAAAAATCACTTTGTACTTACATCTATTGGATCTTGCCAATAATGTTTTGGTCCCAAATTACATTGCTATCACCAACGAAATTCAAAAAAACGTATAATTTTTAACTAAAACAGCAGAAATTTAATTAGCATAAAAATGCTTTTCCTACACCACAGACAACTAAAACTTTCAAACCTTAGTCAGGAAATTCATGTGCATTAAATTGTGTTCGCCATGTTAGGCAATCAAAAAGAATGTATTTGCGCTAAAGTATGTTCAAGGTCTTTCTCATAGCATAAAACACGCTCACTAAAAGTAAATTATGTTTGGGGTTGTAATCACCGTATCTATCACCATGGTAAACAGTCTTTTTTTTTAACTCGAAAAGGCATTCATGTGTTATCTTAAATAATGTTTTTTTTGGGGGGGTCATAACTGCCATCCCTGAAATCTTGCCGATAACCATTTGGTTGCAATTTTCATAGCTATCGCCATGGTGATTCAGATAACTATAACATTTGAAATGTTGTCGTTATATTCATGTGCATTACATTGCGTTTTTAAGTCGCGTGCCATAAATTGCGTTTTTTGGAGTCTCTCAAATTCATTTCACTCATGGCAAATGTTATCCTGGGCGCCTCTAATAAATAACCTATCTCAATACTGGGCTGAATCAATCATATATCACCAAAAAAACGTGGAAGATTGGGCGAAAATTGTTTTTTTTTTTGCTTGGAAAGGCATTTACGAGTTGAATAATTGTTTTTGGTGAGGTTGTAATTTTACATTTATGAAACATTTATTTATGTCTCCTGAGAAACACAATCAATGCCAGATAATCACATGTCTGTTGAGATAGGTGGCAGGCAGAAGCCGAGATGTCTGTTCACCATACAGGAAAATGTCTGTTTTTCCCCTTTCAGGCTTAAGCATCAGATGGTTACTTTAAGTCATTACATACGGCGGCAATGTCTCCAAGTATCCCACCCAAAATGATCGTGTGAATTTGTTGAATCTCACCGTGTTTACCAGGCGGCGAAATGCTCGTTTTAACACTCGTTGAACACTCTTTGAGTCTTAAGGACCGAGTGAACATATGTTGGGCACTGCCCGAGCCATTTTTTACAGGAATAAAAAATCCATACATTATAGAACAAACTGTGTGAATTTTCGACAGTAATAATCTTGTAAATTTGTTGATTTGTTTATATTTTGTTTGTTCATTCTTTTGGTCATTATATGATTCAATGTGCAATGTTCCTTTAATAATCTAACAAAAACATTTCTCTCCAAAAAGTCACAATTTGATAAAAGAACACATTCTGATTTAAACCAATTAGACAATTCAAACAAATCTGCTAGTTATCAAAACTCAGCTGCCAATCAGCTCATTTCTCAGGAATTACAGGAAATATACAATGTTAAAAAACAAGTGCAAGTTACTAAATGTGAAGATTCAACAAAAACAAAAATATAGGTTGCCCGTAAGTTCTGTTAACTGTCAATTGAACATCGAGTTACTAAATATGGACGTTTTACAAAAATGAAAATATTTGTTGCTCGTAACTTGAAGTTTTGTTAACTGTTAATTAACATTGAGTTATAATTTGGGCGTGGATTCGCAGAAATGGACGTGGTTTCTAAAATATGGGTGTGGTCATTTTAGTAAGTCAAATTTGTTGTCACTCGATGTTTCAATTCAGCATCACGTTGAATACAAATGGTGAAGTTAGGCACAGTGTGTAGTTAGGTGAAAAGTGATGTTATCATAAATATATCAGTAAAGTAAAGTGCTATGAAAATGTTGAACTTTGGTGAATACATATAGTGATTCAAGAAGGTATTTGAAAACAAATAGTGAGATAGGTGATTTTTTTTTTTTTTTGCAGCTTTGGGAGAAGTCACCTAGGAGAAGTACATCTACGATTATATATATTATTGTGATACTAAACACAGTTGGTTCCAGTATCAGTATGATTAGTGACTGTGTCACTGAAAGGCTGGTTTCTATTGGCTATGACACAAATTTACCACTCGGCCAAAATGCAGCGATGAAGAAAATTGAACCCCAAAAAATTGTGAGTATATAACTACAAATATATTAATGCTAAGGTTAACTGTTAGAACCCTACTCATGAATCTTAAAAAAAATTGATCATAAATCTCTTGACATTGTTCAAATTGGATTGCCCATCATATCACCCATGAGCCATTGCTCTATGGAAAGTATGCTATACAGTGTAGTACTGTATTTTGAGCAAGTTGATCAAATATTGTCTAAAAATTGTGACTTTTAGAACAATTCCAATGAATAAAAAGTTAAAGAAAAATATAATTTTTATCTCATTTTACCACAGCTTTTACATGACTATGATTCACTAAAGCCCATGATAGCCGCAAGGTTTGTGATTGGTTGTACAATTTGTTGAAAAAGTGATGAATTCTGAGTATTTTCATTCATGAGTATCTTTCTTACTTAAAACCTGTATTTATGAATTTGATTTGACTTGAAATACTGTAAGAAATTACATAATTTATGTCCAAAAACAAACAAAGTAACATACACTGACACATACAACAATAATAAATTTAAAAAAAACGACAACAAAAAAAACATAAGATTTTATGAATAAAGACTCCAAGACTGTTAACAATGAAACTATCCCTTGAACTCAACTGTTTCTTAAACATAATCTGCTTAGGCAAATTCTCAAATTGTTCATTGTGCATTGAGATTCTTCCCAAAAATTGGCACCTATCAGTTTCCATCTCTGGGTTCTTGCAATCTAAGTGAGCATGCATCTCATTGCCAACAGATAGATGTATTTGAGCACTAATTTAAAAAAGGTTATCACAGGTATGTTACTCTTAGTCAAATCTGTGTTAAAGATGATATTAGCCGTTCACCCAACATGTTATTTATTCATGTACATCAGATTGGGTACATCATGGCAACCACTGCCCGATATTACTTTCATTTTGACTAATAGATGCTTATGTTAAATTGTGGTTTGAACTGTATGCAAAATTTACCATTTTGATTTATTTCAATTTTTCTTGTATACCTAGTTGACAGTGCTTAGGTTATTGAGTAGTTTTGAAAAAGACATTGGACAGCCATTATGGTAAGTATTTAGATGTTCATTTGTTTCTCTGTAAGTGTGCCCTCTAACAGCAATGTTGACTGGTTCCCGGCGTTCCTTGCGAATGGCAAGTAGAATGTAGGTAACTAGTAATGGGCATATTGTTGCACTGAGCCAGGATACCAGCCGAAAGGCACGTGACTAAGTGAGGTAATTTGAAAACATAAAAAGTTCTTCTGTCTAAACATTCTGTAATACTGCAATAAATTCATTCCCATTCCCATTCGCTCTGTCTGCTTAGACCTCCTATTTGAGATGGTTCTGGTATTTCTGTTTCACGAGAGTGAATGGAAAACCCAGCTTTATATATAGAACGACCATGAGCGTAAGCACTGACATCAGGTAACCCAGGTAACCAAATAGAACAAAGAATGAGAACTTGATGGACCAATCGGAATGCCGTAACTTTTACTAGTTACTGGCCTCTTGTGGCCTTATTCCGCTATGACACTTGATTTTGTAAAGCCCCCTCTACAGGACTGATCTTGAGTCAAAGTAGATTCTCAATCAAAAATCAAAGTTGGGTCAATATTGCGTCTGCTGAGAAGTGAGTTAATCAAGAAAAAAATCAAGTTTGTATTCAGTTTCTGAAGACACTAACTAAAGTATTGTGACACATTTATTTTTACAATTATTTTGCATAAAATGTGAATTAAATTAAAACTATGGCAAGTTGTTTTTCAAGATGTATGATTTTCTGTTACAGCCAATAAAATTTAGTTTATTTTACTCAATCAAATTACCTTTGCTTCTCCTACCTATAAAATTGGTGCCTTTTTAACCAGTCACAGTTAAGGCCTAATTAACTTCCAACTAAAATGTTTGATGTGTGGTATTTCCAAATAAAAAAGAATGTTGTGAAATCACTGCAGGCGTGTGGACTCAATTTGACTCTAGTTGATTTCACTCTTGTCTTCAAAGCGAATTTAATCTAATCTGACAACCTGTGCTGGTCTGCATGCTATTTCTGCTCCAAACACATTTTGCACAGCATTTCGACTTAAAATAACATAAAATAACATATTTTTCTTACCATGTGATGTCACTTGGCTCATTCTGCCATATACAAAACATATATATTGCTCTGTGCCACGTCCAATGTGACATATACCATGTATTTTTAATGCAGCTGTACTAGCTGCTTTAATCATATCTTCTGAATAATTTATGAATTTTTAGTTGAATTTACTCTACTGAGCATATTACTGTACATATGTACAGTGCATCATGGGAGAAATTCCTATTGTATATAAACTGGAGATTCACTAAAATACATGTAAATGTCAAAAATAATATTGACTTGTTTCATCCCATCTGACCGGCCAAAATTTCAAAATACAATGAAACCATTGCAAAAAAACAAATCCTCCTGAAAAAATGTCATGTAATCCTAATTTTGTTTGTTTTTTCATTGTGGATATCGTAATTGCATTACCACATAGATATTCATGTATGGAACCATGTTATGCATGCTTTTTTACTTGCAGTGAGATATAAAAGCATCATCAAATATTCAGTTGTATTTTTATTTTTCAGGCAGTTGACATTATTCCTTATCTTCTTCTTCTACTTCATGGGATGCTTTATTAAGCGAAAACATCGCATTCCGGAAGGAATCCAGCAGCTAAGCAGGCAGAGTTGGTTTGTTCTACCATTTTTCTCATTATATATGTGGTGAGTATGTATTGTATCAAAAATAATTATTCGAATGTTGCATCAATTTTTAGTACCTGTAAGTCCTACAGTGTAGATCGAAATAGAGTTTGGGGTCATCAGAGATGGCAGAACGGAGCAGCTGTTTGTATACCAGTAGGTGACTGCCTGTCATCCATCTGTTTTTCAACCATCGTCCATCCATCCACCGACAACAATTCCATTTTCAAATTCATCTTAAATACTACCAGCCTTGACAATGCTATATGTAGGTACTATGGATGAACCTTTATCATTTTGTATAATATTACCGGGTAATTTTCTATTTTTAGCAAATTGGTAAAAAATTATTTTTAGAAAACTACCAAATTGAAAACTGATTGTTTTGATATATGATATATATTTATCAGAATAATTCCTTCTATGATGAATTCATTAATCCATCAAAGATGACAAGGCAAAGCTGTTAGTATAGAAAATTTTCCATCGTCGTCCCACATAAACTTTTTTCAAACAACTTCTTCTTTAACACAGTATTGCTTATTACATATGCTTCATAGAAAAGACGCAAATCTGCCCAAAAATAACACTGTGTCATTCAAGATACACTCCAAAAAAATATATTATGCAAGTTTGTTAATCAGAAATTCAAAATTACACAACTGAAATCTTTGTTGATCCGACAAGCTTGTAGTGATGTACTGTCTTCGCTGGTTCCTAGTGTCGTTTGGGTGACTGACAGCTGAATGCGGGGTGGGGGTGGTGTTTGGCGGGTAACAGGTATACACTTAATAAAATGGAATGCAATATGTTAAACATACTTTACAATTGACCTGATTAAATTTTGATATGAATTTGTACATATCGGTATGTTGGATATATTATGCTTTGGAATTAATCTATGAATATTAATTAACTAATTTGCATACTAAATAATTATTTTCAGCTTGTACTATTTTGTATCCTAAAAACAATTTGGTCTACTAGACTGAAACATGGTGTTTCAGTTTTAAATCAATGTATAAAGCAGTTTAAGCAGAAATTTAATTCGCTTCACATGGAAGCATTTTCTAGCATCTCCAGTTTTAGTGAATATTTGTAATTAACTATATTATTATGAGATGTGTTTACTATACGCATGTTTTACTGATTCGCTGGTGGAATTCAGCAATAATAAATTTCCACATACAGTGGCCTGTTGGATGAGGATGTGAGATCAATTACAATGTATCTCTATATTGACTTAGGAAACAATTTTATTTGAGATATAATGATTTTAAAATCATCTTTCTACATAGAACGAAATTACTCACACCTGTTTCAAATCTTATTTGCAGGTATCTGATAGCAGAATACCAAATGCTGACATCATTCCTAGTTTTAACCTTCTTCATGTTGTTCTATCAGCTTTTTGAGCAATCTCAACACAGAATAACTGACATCAATGGTCAGTTTCTATTACAAAGTATGGGCATAGCAATGGTCTTTTTATTGTCCTGGAAATGGCTGTTATGGGGAGACAGTGCACTGCATGAAAAATACCCCGGATTTACTGGAATTCCGCAACCACTGACTTGGTGGAATAACATGTACAGCAAGAATTTAGTGCCGAGTATGGATGGTATTGATGAGTTAGTGGAAAAAATATCAAGTCCGATTTTGACCGTGACTGTTCCGGGCGCTCCTCAATGATACAGTGAGGATAGAGATACATAATACTGTAGCTGCCATTTGAATAACAATTTAAAGTTTGCTGACTTTGAGCACTCACTTAAAACAACAAACTGAAACTTATCATTGCCAATCATAATATGTTATTTTTATATTGATATTTAATTAGTCCTCGTTATAACAAAGTCCAAAACAGAGACTTATGATTTGTTCTCTGTGCATGCATCCAGAGCTGTAACCATAACTTGACCAATTATTTCTCAAACTTACATACACATACTTAATAATTTGTTTAATCCATATGCACCTACAATGATTTCGTGATTAGTTCAAAGATGACAGCCAGGGTTATAGCCAGAATATAAATATAGCCTGTCTAAAATCAATATTGAAATAAGACACTCAGTAGCCACAAACTTTTAATTTATTTTTTGGGAAATGTTTATTATTATTATTTTGTAAATTATGAAATGTTTTCAATCAAAAGTGGACATATTTGCTGAAAATTTAGCATGCCAAATGAAAAGTACTAAAATGTAGAGTGCAACTCTAAAATGACAGGTAGATAGGTGGTTGTCTGAAAGCATGCTGGTGGCAATGTTCAAATCTGGTGTGAAATTCCTTGGGGGTGAAGGAATTATGTATAGTAAAAAAATCACTGATTGTTTTGTGTATTTCATACTTTAGACATAATAAAAGCAACAAAAATAGAATAAATGTGTTTTCTGTTTGAAATATTTTGTTCAAGCTTGTTTTAGCAGCTAAATAATCAGGCTGCTATTAGCTATAGGTATATTTGTCCATTCAATGTTCATCTCTATTTTCAGTGGTAAACACTGCTCGACCCGATAAATATGATATACAGTAGATAATATTGTCCTAATATGAGTTTTTTTTTTTGCTTAAATGTAATTTTTGACTTTATGGAAAATCATTACCTAACATTATCAATAACGAATGAAGATGGAGTCATATTGCAGTGCATTGTGGGAATGGTAGGCAGCTGCTATATGTTTCTATACTCTATGTTGCCATGTATTACCAATTGCATATAAACAACAATAGTGACAGTAGTCAATATCAGAAGCTGTTTTCACTCTTAAAAGATCAAATATGATAACACTGATGTCAATAATTTTTCTCGTGTAATTAGGATTACAAGCAAAGCATGTAGCTCTTATGTATTGTTATCATTACATTTTCTGCAATGAATTTGTTAGTCATCAAAGTCTCAGATATGATTAATCCAACATTTGTGTATCCTTATCAGCTTGTAGGCCTTCATTGGAAGGTATGCAGTCAAAATCTTCAACACTATGCTCTACTTTCTTGTCAGCCATCTTGGAATGAATTTTGCCATTTTGAAATCTGAGTGTCTAGGCATTTTGATTTTTTTGAGATAACATTATTGGTATATAGGTTACCTATTCCACAAATAAAAAAATACAAATAAAAACACTAATTGTCACATATTCTGGAAAAGAGCAAAAACACTTTTAAAAATCTTCTTCAAACCACTAAAAACATAGATCTGAAATTGGGTATTCAGCATCTACCGGTACGTATAAAGGCCTATTATTTGTAAAAGATATTTATGATTGAGTATGTGGTATGGCGCCATCTTGGATTAGAAGTAGTTTATATTGATGCCTTATTTTTACTAATTTGAAATTTGCTGTATACTGCATAATTATACTGAATTTCTTCATACAGCCAAAAAATAATTCAGACAGGTCGCATAATTTGGCATCTTAGATTTCGGGCATTTTTTTTGCCATTTTGAACCCTTTCTGAAGGTCCAAGGCATTCTGATTTCTTCGTCACGTTATTGATATATGGACTACCTATTTCACAAATAAAAATGTCAATGATCATCCGAAATTTATAAAATTTATGTTTAACACTTGCAGTCAGTATAGCGCCCTCTTGGGGTCAAAACGTATGTATTACAAATGGGGGAATGGATTGTGAAATATTTTTTTTGCATTAGTTGGATACATATTCATATTTTTATAGTTTATGGCATATTGTTCATCATTTATGGGGGAAAGCACACACTAGTCTGGTTTGTTGTTTTCGCAATAAACGTTTTCATGTGAAATCAATAACGTTGCCGTCAAAATCAGACACTTGAGCATTTGCAGGCAAATTGTTGATAAATACCAATGACATTTGGGTTACCACAATGTGACAACTGCTGTTGAGACATTTTACAGATGAATAAGATTTTAATTTTGAATTCTTTATTGATATTTGTTGTACGAGTGCATTATCTGATATGAACATGTAATTAATAACGGCATGTATGATAATACTAGTTATAGTATATCTGCATATTGACAATTTAAAGGGCGACAGTCGTCGCGTCGCGTCCTGTTCGATATGGGACTCATAGCGACGACGTATACAACGCGTGTAAAATACATTGTTTATTTACATGAAATTCGAACACGCGCTGCTCGACGACCACCGCGCTTTAAGTTGCATTAATTTAATAATTCACTTGTAACCCACAATACAATTCATTGGTTTACCACGAATATAAACAAGTATTCGTACAACCAAACACTGAACCCAAATCACAAAGTGGCTTACTACCAAGTTGGGATAATATAAAAAATATATATTGATAAGCCCACATTATCTGGTTTGAGGTCAACTGAACTGTTCGGTCGTCAACCGAGTAGTCAACACATAAAGTTGCATTGTGGGATGTATCGTGTTGACGCGAGATCACTGTGCGCCCGCAGCGACTGAATTAAATACAATTTGGGCAGCAATCACCCCTGCAATTGCCCATATATAGCTAGAAGGAATACGTTCATATACTTTTAAGTGTATCTCAGACTAGTGACAAGCCTATGGCCACCGTTGTTATACCTGTCCCACTGTGCTGTGAAGCTTGCGCATCTGCTGTTGATCTGTACACTATCTTTATGATTTGTGGTCGATCATGTATTGTTATTGTATTTGTGAAGGATGATCGCGGGAAACGTCGGTGGTGGACGCTATCGCATATAGGTGACTGATTTGATTCATAAAGTATTCGACGGATAGCTATGTCAGTTTTATTTTCGTGTGTCCTGGATTTCTTTGACATGCTTTGACCAATTTTGCTGGAGTTAAGTTGTCTTGGCCAATTTTGTTTTCTCGAGTGTTCTGCCAGTTCTCAGATACACTTCCATTGATTTGGTACACATACTGGTGTGAATATTCTCCTCAGCAGTTTCTGTTTGTTGATATGAGTTTGATATACGATAATATATATGATAAAGCCCTCGTATGAGGATTCTTCTGGTATATGAATCTTACCTGAGAAAAACTGTTGAGGGTCGAGGCCGAGACATTTCATCATATGAGGGCTATACTATCTGAATTAAAAGTCACCACCCAAGTTGTAGTCATTTTACTCCTAAAATTGGCTTACTGGAATTATGGCAAATGAATTAAAAAGAATGAAGATCTGCATTATGATTTGTGAATATTCGTGAGCTAAATCGAAACATCATATACGCCAAAGTCAATGGCTAACATGGAGTTCCATATCGGTAACTGATGAGTGTCGTGACCGTGGATATTTTATTTCATTTTCTTTAATCATGTATGTGAAACTACTACTAGTGAGTAGCGTTCTACATAGAAATATCTTCATTATGCAGTTTGTTTTTCTTTTAATTTGACCGACTTGTGGAAAGTTTGTTCCTAAAACCATTGCTCTGAATGTCTGAGACGATTTAAATTGAACTTGAAAAGGTCACATATGATTGATTACTGATGTTCTGTTTGTTTTAGGTATTCATTTATTAGACTCATTCGTTCAAACTAATTTGGTGAAAGGACAGATAATAAAGTTTCAATTTGGTGGGGCCAGATGTAGATAATGTACAAGTCCCAATTCCGTAGTTCTGAAATGCTTTGGCCAGCATCTTTTTGTTCTGTAACCATCATATTGTTAAACTTCAAAATTGACAAATTATGCAGCTCAAAATTTGAGCACTAAATCGACTTGATCCTATAACAAAAACCTAAAAGAGCATATGGTGAGTGACATTGTTATACTTTTGGAGAACTAAAGAACAGTTCAGGTTTCAGTTCTGAGAGTGGTCATTTTATGTGAAAACTATCAATATATTTGATTAGTGTCTTCTGTTTGGTCTTGATAAAACATATCTCTTCATTAAAGCTATTCTTTGTAATTTACTTTTTTAAATCATGCTAAAGTTCGTTCTCATATTCTCATTCCAACGTCAAAATCAGAAGTTCTGAATTCTCACGTTCCATTTAACAGCGCCATCTAGTGTGCAATGTAGGATAATCATGGTTACCAGAGCGCCATCACACGATTGTTTCATAGATGTATAATATTCATATTGGCAGTAATATAAATACTAACTCTACTAAAGTCATGACAAATGGTATTTTTATCTCAGCTATGCAAAGGTATGCCGTATGGATACAGCGCCACCCGTCACCAGTTATTAATTTCACGAGACACATTTTCGCGAACATTTGAAAATCACGACATTTTTTTTTATAATGAAAACATCAATGAGGTTGTGACGACACGTGCGAAATTTTCTGCTTGTGACTCAAAATCGCGAAATTCAGCGAAGCTAAACGGTTTAGAATATATATCACTATATCACTTTAACTATATATCACCTGTAGCCTTAGAGTGGAAGCTCCTGGCTTATAAGTTTTCGCGGGAAAATCATCTTTAGGAGGTTCTTGATGTTTCATCTACATGGTACTTGATTTAAGTGTGGTGTATCCTATCGGAAATATTAAACATAAGACAGACTATTATATATTCCATATCTAAATGACTAAATATGAATATTAGTTTAATAATATCCAATGTATTCTATCAGTGCATTTTCAATATACCATGCGTGGATTGCTTTGCCATTTGGTATGCACGTCGGAGTACGTCATCATATTTGACATAACGTGTTGTAGATCATTTTGCAGCGGAGCACTTGTGACGTCACAAACAAAGGGGTATATTTGTATTATTATTGTATTTGCATACATTACATCTATTGCCGTAACTATTACTAAATAACCAAAATATAATTAATCATTAAAATCAATGTTTGAGATTCACAAACATTGTGTATACTCTGTCACATCATTATAGCTTTAAATTTTGATCCAGTGCTAATACCTTGTATTAAAAACACGCCTGTGATGTCTTACTAACGTGACAGAATAACGGCGAGTTAAAGGGGAACCGCTCAATCCCAATCACCAAAGAATCATGGGACACTATTGTTTATGTTGTTTACAATGTTAATCTATCTTTTGTTATCCATTGTTATTTTAATCCAGAAAGTAAATTTGTTGTGAAATTAAGCTTAACTAGAAGGTGCCCCTTTAAGGACTGCGATGTCTTACTGAAGTGACTTGATATCTACTACTTAAAGTTTGGTGATAACAATAACTGTTTTTTCAGAAGTTCCATGCGCGTTCTGACGAAACTATAAAATTGGTACTCTAGTTCCAGTCTTTCGCTCATGAGGCGTATCGCGGCGTCGGAAGGAGTGGGAGTTGGCACGGTTTTATAAAACTCGTATTTCTTGAGACCCATTACCATGGTTTTATATACTTTTGAAGCACTTTCAAAAAATTGTGGCATCAATATTTCAAATATACGCAGAGAGCTGTCCAAGTCTTCCAACACGCCTACAAAGGCATATTTTTCGACCACATGCTTCTTAGCCATTTCAAGCGCCCAGCGACTAGGCAATTGACAGTCCGGTGAATGTCCGCAAAAGTAAGGAATAACTTGAAAGGCGTTTTTCTCGCTGCACACTTTGTTATTGGTGAGTACACATTCGTCGAATGACAGTGTATTCAGGGGTTCGTACATCCTCGTTCCGGAGACTTTTGGTTCGTTTATTTTATGCGTATAGTACCATGACAGAAATCGGGGAAGTGGCTCGCGAATGAGGTTAATGTACGTAGGGTTGTGTATTCCGAATAGATCGAAGTCTAGATAATATATATGCCTGTTGAATACATACGGTGGTAGCCGTGTATTGATGTTGGTAACGGCCGCTTCTTGGCGTTTTGTGGTCAGGTTGTACCGTCGGACTCGATTCCAAATCGATCGAAAGTTGTGTTCAAACGATAGGATACCGATAACAGCTAAGACTGACTGACTACCACATTGATCAACGCAATTGTATACTACCCTCGATTCGTTCCAATACTGTGTTATATCAATGGGAAAACCTGTATTTGGATTTATAGACACTGGAAACTGCAGAGTGCGGCTGTCGGGCATTATAGAGACTGTTGGGAGTGTTTTCATTGGTTTGGCTATTTTCCGACTAACTGGTGGTTCTTCGTCATAGTCTTCATCGTCATCATCAATGACTTCAGTCATTGTGAAGTTCTCCATCGCTTCTACGAATCTCTCTTTGACAACTTCATCTTCGTCAGTATTTATAACTGAACTCGTCCGTTCGATTTCTTGAGGTTTTTGCGCCCAGAAGTTGGCTTTGAATTGATCATACAAATCGTACACTTTGTTCAATGTAGTATTGTGCTTATTTTTCGTAGTGTATAACAGCTGATATAGTTGATTAATCTGGTTATTGGCGTCCCATTTCCAATCCCTGTAGTTGAGTACACTTCGCATTCTGGTAATCGTCGCGTCATGGAACGATTTCCCGTACCGTACTAGATCGCTGACTTTAGTGTTGGATCTTGCAAAATTCCGTACCATATTACTGTACTGCGATTCTTCTAGTTTCTTATCCTCGGTGTCATTATACGGGTCGACATTCAGCGTATTCAGCTGATCTTGTCGAATGACGGTGAAAAACATGGATATATTCATAAATATGGATATAAGAAGTGCCCCGGCAATCATAGTCATTATTCTCCGCGTACCCATATTGATAAGTCCACCAACGCCCAATGGGTGCGCTTATTATCTAAAATTAAAACATATATTATTAATCATGTTAGGGAATTCTAGAGAGATAAAGGAGAGGTTTCAAGGTTTCCAGAATAGAACATTGAATGCGACTTAAAATAATGCATTGTTGATAGGTCAACAAAATATTTTCAGACTATTAAAAGTATGATGGATACATCAATCAAACTCATAATTTTATCAAACGTTTCTTGTATCAACAGTGGCAGTATGTATATGATGACATCACACTGTGAAACTCACTTCTCGTTTGATTATTATTACTACGTCACGTTCAAACAGTGCATAATTTACATAATCGTTGATGTAGTATTCCTAGATATATTATATTTAAAATTTGAATGACATGTTTAAACGTGAAAATCTGACTGAGCACGTGACATTAATGTAATGATTTGATCTCGCGGTTGTTTCATGCGTCAGTGACACGTTTTGGAAGACCACATTATACCCCCCTCTGAATTCTATTTTTGAACAAATTCTCCTGTTTTTGCTGTGTAAATTTGAAATGCTTGTAACTTGATGCAAACTAATAGAACCTCGTAAAGTGTGCCCTCTATCGCCGATTACAAACCATCCATGGAGAGCCCTACACTGATGTGTTATAAGTAAGAAGTGTCACCAATTTCCGTTCACTGCGTTATCTCGCGTTATGCGTGAAATCGAACGTTAAAACAGGACAAACAAACGTCATAGTTACGCATGCGCGAGATATATGGGTCTCATATAAACAAAGATGGCGATTTTGACTGTTGTGCAGGTCAACGAGTACAAACTAAGACGTTTCCAAGCTTTCAGGGTTATTTTCAGGTGAGTTGAAGGTATCGAAATAGTCACCGGCGGTAATCAGTGCAAGTCGCGCCCAGGTCAAACCTCAAACTTGTGAATTCCTTTTGAAGAGCGCATTGGATTGTGGGAAAATCAATGTTTCAAATCAACATAAACGTCACACATGCGTAGCGCGACAACCACCGCGCTTTAATAACATATGCCCATACACATTTCATGACGGTTAATTTTCCCGTAGTAGGTCTATCATATGTTCCTCTCTGGAAGCTTTGCATTTCGACATTGAACTTGACAAAAGGAAATTCAGGTTCAAAAACAAATAAATTGATTTTTGTAGCAGACACTCGAGATCTCACAGTGAACGAGAAATCGCCTATTGCGATGGTGTGAAACCTCTACATACATCTGTGCTGGAACCTATATCCTTAACATATTAGACTTAAATACTGCGTTGTAGCATAAATTAAATGCACTGACCGTAAAACAAGATGAACGCTTTTTAAGTGTGCCACGTGCCACCAGTAACATGTAATAAGTGCGAACATGCGGTGCATATCCGATCAGTCATTGTTTTGGAGGCATGGTTATTTTAACTGTGCCATCTGATGCCAATGTTTGTATACAAGATTTACATTTTTCGAGTCAGAAATTAGATTTTATATTATATTTATAATTTGGAGTTAATAGGCCATGTCATCAAAATTGTTATTATTTATATTTATTCAATAATTTGCTGGATGGGCAGCAAATTAAGGGATTTATCTGTTTTTTTATCCTTGATTTCTTGCGCGAATACGTTTTTAATTTCATTAGGATTTTGAAGCTTACCCTGGCAACGATCTCGTTAAATATTTGTATGCATTGTGACTGCTGGTCCCTTCATCAATCTCGCCACATATACGAGTCAATGTACTGCATTCCCTCTAAGCTAATAACCAATGTACTTTAATATTTTTTGCTTTTTCGTTTCATTCAATTTATTCGAGCCCATATGATATTGAAAATTAGAAAAAGTCACTGTGCCATTTTTTGAGAACCAACGATTTTATTGCAATTGATAGAATCAGAATGTGCTGCGCCAATCGTGTGACCTCATTTCGATTTGATTGGAAGTAAAAATTATCTGAATTTAATCGACGCGGTTATGATCTTTTATATCATAAGCATGAGAATATTATTTCATCCATTAATCGTATCAGGCACACAATACTAGTATATCGAATCATTTTAAATAAACTTCAACGTGTTATGACTGCGGCATCTTGAAGGGCTGCATTGTTGTATTTTACACAGGTAAGTAACGCGAGGGAACATACAGTGTTTTATCTTATGTTAAGTATCTACATGTTAATCTAGTGATCAATGGTTAGCACCACGAAGCGCCTTTTTTGTTGGTCTCTTTGCTAGGCTATTGTATACGAAATGAATATCACTGTTTCTGCTAAATCACATCTGAACATGTGTGATTCGTGTACGTATGTATATCTGTTACTCCGCTCAGTAAACCGTATAAGCTGTTATTTAAATCGGATATCGCGGAGAAGTCACTATGTGAATTACGTCACGTACAGTGCATACAAATGTGCATATATCGAACCGGTACTGTGCCACATGTGAGGCGTTTGTACTAAACAACGGGTCTATCGAATATATAATTTGAATGAATTTGGTAGAAGAGTTGAACAATTGAATCAAATAATATGCGTGTGGCAGTAATGCGTGATAACTTGACCTCGTGATTAACTGCTGCTATTATTGAATTTGTCAATAGGCGCGTGTTGGGATGTGAGCCACATTGTGCTCTCCTGCGAATTCTTGTATAAGAATGCTTATTTTTTTAAACACTAATCCGAATTTGATCCGTTTCGTTTTCTGTCATATGAGTGAATCTACGCAAATTATGAGATGAAATATAGAAATATCAGTACATGGGCGGATGACAACTAACAAAGAGGTATTTGATGTATTTCATCATACTTAAATTGATCATTATAACCTGGATATGTACTCACCTATTTAAAGTCAGATCGTTCACGAAAGTTCTTCTTCCATTATTACCATGTAATCCACGGATAAAAAACGCAAGAAGACGTAGAACAATTGATATGACAAAATTAATGTTACTGGTGGCCTACTGATGACGTGCATGGTTCAACAAATGGTGCACAAATTAATGTTGGATTATTCTACTCCCATAAAGTATGTTTTCGTGCGACAGATGCTGTTATTTTTTTTCTGCGTGGATGACTTACAACAACACGTAAGCAGTGTATAATAATTCCAGCTGAATGGCTGTAGCGACCAAAGCGACTTCATCAGTCGATGAATAGATGAAATGCACAGATTTTTCAAATTTTGTATAGGGCGTATTGTTTATTATTTTACTAACCGTGCACAGTCTGTATTAAACTTATTAGTTTCGAGTTACCCCTTGACCTGTTTGCGTAAAGTGATACATTATTCATCTGCTTAACTATTTAACAATGACGCGGCCTTGCCCAATGTACACATATTGCACCCATATTGTGTGGTTGTTGGGTGGCCTGTTCGCACTATTGCCCCTCATTTAGCTCTGTGGCCTGTTTTGTTTCGAGGGTTTTGCTTATAGGTTGTGATCATTCGAAGGCTCCGTGCGAACATTTGAATGTATTTTGTATTTCCTGGTTTCCAGAATGGTCTCAAATTAATTTGTAGCTTTACATTGAATTTCATTAAGACTTGTACGGTTTTTATAAAAAAAAAACATGTATAAAACTTGTATAAGCTTCAAATTACGGCTGAAAGCAACTTGAACCAATCACAATGCCTTGTCTGATGACTATAAGGTGGCTTTTGAACCATCGTGGCAATTTCCTTGGTACCTGAAAATGAATATAGTTTACAGTTTAAGCGTTTAGTACCAAACAGTGACGGTGATACTAATTATAATATTCAAAATATATATTCGAACGATAAGTTTGAAGCGTTTTGAATATATAGATGATGGCATCTATGTTACACGTAAATCGGCCGTGAAGGAGAGAAAGAGGCAGACTCGAGCTCGTGGGTGATGGCGACAAACCACGTGACTGATCAAACTTAGTTTATATTGGCTGTACATGCTATGTACAAAATATCAAGTTGATTGGTTGAAGTACTCATGAGGAACAAATGCCCGAAACTATAGTAATATTTGCCAGAAATCCAAGATGGCTACCAAACTACGTGATTTTCAGGCGTTTTGTTATCGTTTTTTCGGGTAAAAATCATGGCGACGAGTTACGTCATGAGGGGGTGAGATCTGCTAACCGGAAAAAAAATGAAATCAAGACCCACTGAAACGCTATTTCCTGTGTTTTTAAGGGCAAGACAGGCATTCCTCTTCAACTGTGTCGCATCAACACAAATACGCTAAGGGTTTCAGTCTGACTGGGGGGGGCGACGCGGTGCCGCCTCCTCTGTAGGACGTAGTTTATGACCCCCCCAATGCCTCCCAGACAAACAAGCATCAATGGTTATCCAACTGACAATGTGGCCATCAAATCACAACTACGCATATGCAATAGCAATGGCATGTTCCTAGTGATCCTGCCTTGATTTGAATTCAAACAAAATGTCACTGGCAAGTTCAAAAGTTTACGTACAAAAAATAAATGTTATACAAAATCAGAAAGTCATATTACAATTAAATATGTCAACAGTTTTTCAAAGGAAATATTCAAGTTCCTCCAGCATGTGACCCCAATCCACGCCGCCCACAAGGTGTATACTATTGTTTCGTGAATGAAAGTAAAAAAGAATGAATGAAATACATGTATTAAATAAATATGCACATGTAATGTCACAGGGTTCCTTTCAAACTGCAAATATTTAGCAAATTTAAAATTATATGCGTTGTCAAAACAGTTTCGAGGGAGATGATCATTAAACAGGCAGTTGTTTGGACATCGCAAGCGGGCGCTGCCATCATTCAACAGGCAAAACTCGCCTATTATTTACTGATACAATACAAATTCCTACAAGAGAACTGGTGATGGTTGTAGAACCATAACTGCCTCAGCTCAAAGATTGTTATGTAATACAAGGGAATGTGAAGGGAAATGTATTGTAATGTTACCTCTTTGTAATTTACAATATATCTGCATTAACCTTCACTGTGAAGGACAATATGGGAGTTGACTTAAATCTGGTAGAAGCAAGGCTGGTCAAATTTTGCGAAATAGTAGTTAGAATTTCCAGATACGCAATCGACACATTGTGAGATATTTCCAGAGATGTAGTTGGAATTGAAGCAAAGGAGTGACCTATTAATCCATGAAACATACTCACACATATCCGTACATATCACCCTGTCTTTTTGTGTGTGGGCAAAGCTGTCATGCACACAATCTTTGAACAATTAATAAGGAAATATGTGATTTGCTATGCAGTTTCCAGAAAATTATTACAAGTTCCAGAAGTGCATACGAATGGTCAAAACGTACAGTTTGGTGACAATTGGGAATGAAACCAAGATTTAACAATTTCTTAGAACATCGCAATGTTCTGTTAACACATAAAGACTGAGCGTGCTTGACTCAATCGCATATACTTGTACCTTGGGCAATGTTGGTGTGCATCACAAATTTTTCTTATAAAACATATTTTTTTGCCAACTATGGAGTTTGTCATAGGTGATGTAAACTAAAATGGCGTCGTCGTAAATGAAATGATCACAATTGCGTCCTCTGTTAAATGTAAGAATGGGGCACCTTGTAATTTACCAGTTGGGCGAGGCTAACAGAGTCGTAAATTCGCTGTGGTTCTTAACCAGTCTTGTGATTGGTTCTTTACAAATTCTGAATAGACCACACCCCCAACTGTGACATGTTTTCTGTATAATCGTTAATTGTTCGCAAAATGGAGTTAATTTGTGTAGTTTTCGTGATTTATTCTAGCGATATCGGTAAAATAAAGGTAAGTCTTTGGCGACATTTTCGAGAGTAACTAATATTCTTCAAGTTGGTGTTTTTTTATAGATTTTATTCACTCATTCATTTTGTCTGTTTTCTCCAGTATAAAAAAATATTGGCTCCCCTGGTACAACATGGAATCGCGAATACTTATTGTACACATACATTTTAGACAATTAAACGTCACATATTTTTTTAAAAACTTGTCGAATATGATGTAAACTATAAGTCTTGTCAAGACTGAAGTAATTCAAAATGGCGGTGCCCTAAACGAATATTTAAAATTGTGTTTTCTGTGAAATGTAAAGATATTCGGAATCAGTACCTCATAATTATTACCTCAGTAATGAAGATTTTTATGTAGATTTTATGAAGATTAAGGCTATCAACATAGATAAAAATGCAAAGGCTCATGGGTAGACGCTTGTTTGTAAACAGTGACACGCTATGGCCATCTGACGCATGCGCAGGTGACGACTCCCCCGCTTTAACAAATACACACATGTAAACATGTTAACACACATATAAATAAACCAATCCGTAGCATTTTGCAAACTTACATTTAATATACCAATACTGGTTTCAGCGTAATACTCACATGCGTTACCATGCCAATATAAATCTGTAGCTTGAGTTACCAATTCTTAAATCCATTTAGCATACACATGGTGTATATTAGTTGAGGTTTTAGTACGAAATACACTCTTACACTACTAATCTATAATTTCTGAACTAAACTCTACATTTAATTATATTTTATATCAATGGTGTTTTTGAGCAGATTGCAAAATGTACACCCGAATATAAAATGATTAAGAAACTACGTCATTCGTTCACAATATACAATGTGGAAAATTAGAGTGGACCATCCAAAAACTTGTTCATGTTATAATGTTTCTATTTGTTATAATGACAGAACTGAAAATACTAGAGTCAAAGGAGCGAGGACCCCTTAATGGTAACTAATATTTATGTCGTTAGCCCAGGTACGAAACTATTACCATGCAATAGCAGACTAATGTTAATAGTCGTATTTTATTATGACCTATATCTCTTTCACAAAGAAGGTCAGTGATTTAATATATAACACGCTGTCTGAGAGAGAAGTGATGAAAATATGAAATGGTTGAAAGCTGCAAGGATTATCAAAATAATATATTAAAAATGACTAGCAGAGTCGGCGATGCGATACTAATTGCAAAGATTATTTGTTCATATGAGAAACAGAGGTTACTCGGATGACAATGGTTACCCGGATGACAATGGTTCTATTCTATACCACCTTAGTTTGCTTGTTAATTGTATTTCCGAGGCAGTCAAGACGAGGTAGGATAAGCTGCTTCATTGATGTGCTATAATTTTGTTTTAATTGCAGTAAATGCGAAACACTTTACATTGGTTCGACAGTGGTTCGGCGGGGGGGGGGGCGCTTTGCAGAAAGTTAGCAACAGACTCGTCTTAATTTAGTGTCATTACATTTTATTTCTAGTCGTTTTCGATGATTACCATCGTTGTTACGTCTGTTTTGATAAATTTTCCAAGATCTCCACTCTTTTCATATCTACCATTGAGGAATTGTCCGAAACAACTGATTATATTGAATACATTACGAAGGACTACTATTACCTAATACCATTTTCTATGTATTGTAATAAAATTATAATGCGTTGTCTTGTTTTCCTAATTATTAAATAACAACACTTTGTGTCACGAATCTATGCTGCCTTCCGATGGGCTAGTATTATTCATTTATTCTGATAAAAATAACCATAATTTAGACTAAATACTGCGTGGGTTTCTACTCGCTGCACGCTACTCCATTAAAATTCACGTAAACGTCACGCAATATGTGCTTGTAAAAAGCGATCTCAGTTGAGTCTTGGGAAATGATATACTCTCTGTTAATTGGCTGTATTGTGGAGAATTCCCCGACTATCACGTGGTCGTTATGTATGATGTTGACGTCATTTTTCAATCAAACAATAAAATAAGTGATTATACAAGCTTCGTATCCATGCGCTAGTGTATAAACTTATACTGTAATCAGGACAGTCACATATGTGCCGATAGTAAGTATGTAACTTTGTACATTCACAATTTATGTTTTAAATTACATTGGTATATTCAATGATTATAGATATATAGTCACTATGCTTATATTCTATTTCTAAACGTCACATTTCGGTTTATGCATGTCGAGGATATATTACAGACCAAGACAGCACAACTTCCTCCTATTCGAATGTGATACATCCTACGATATGTTTTGTTAGTTTGATTTTATGTTACACTGGTGATTGCGCAACTTTGTCGTATATATGTTATTTACTTTATTTGCATAATACATTATTAAGGTTGTTATCCTGTATCAATTCAAAATGTGCACGACATTGCTAGTGACTTAAGATACACGGTCAGTGTTGACGATGTTTGAATTCGTAGATTTAGCCGTCGACGCTACTCGAATCTCATGATGATATATGACTATATTTGCAATGATGGTAATTATACACCTGAATGTTAAGAAGAACGTTTTTCCCCCGAAACGGTCCTCACGAACCTTTCGTCAACTTTTTATTGATACTGAAACTGACTTTATCTTTGGAACCACCAAGAGAGGCAATTCTCTGCATTCAGGCTGCCACAGTGTTCAAATTTTGACATCATTTATTGAGGATATGCTAAATAAGAGTACGATAACATATGTATGCGATAGTCGTATTAAATCGAATGACGATTCATATCATCTGGATTACGCATAGTTTCTCTGCGCTTTACGCTCCGTAATTTTAAGCGTAGCTTGCCCCCCCCCCCCCAATACATTTTGCTGAATTCGCCACTGGTGCAGCACATAATAAGTCAGCAATATGAGTGCACTTAAATGTCATTTCAGAGAAATATATATTTATTCTTATCATAATAATAAATATATCATAAATTCCACTAAATTACACAATTTTTTAAACTATATACATCTAGGAATGGGGGAACATAATATCACTTCAATCAGCATACAGTCAATCAAAACCTCAGACAAAATATTCACATTTCAATGTTAGAGGGTCAAAAATGCGAACTATTAATATTATAGTACTGGTTCACAGTCCCTCCATGACTGATTGTATAGCAAATTTATAACAATTATTTAAAAACTTTTAACATTTAAAGGCCGAGAACAAACAAACAATATCTTGTGAATAACCCCCACCAATCAGTGTTACATAATAGTGAATTTAATTAGTTCAACATTTGAATATAACAAATATGTTATTATATTTTATTTACAGGTTAGACCCACTCGTGTTGTCCCATTCAAGTACAAGGAGTGGATAAGTTTATCACACACGTCTGTTTAACAAACGGCATTGGTAAACTTTAAACATCACAATGGCGATTAGAGGTGTCCCGCTACGAAAACAAAGTTATATATTTTGGTTAATGGCGATACTATTCTTTGCTGCTAGTTCATATTTCTCAGTAAGTATTCAACATTATATTTATGTTGCACCACATCCTGGTTCTGTTATTCCTATTTTTCTTTTTTGTGTGTGTACTTACCGTTCATTTCATAAGAATTAATGTGTATAAATAATACCACGTGTTAAGATAAAATCTTACTCATCATTTTGGCGAAAGTTGATCATAAATCGCATGGCAACATTTAATTGTTTATTATGTGAAATAACGAAGTTATTGCCACATGGAACCATGAACAAGTATTTGTATGTATGTGTGTGTGTGTGTGTGTGTGTATGTGTTACAGTGACGTATTTTGAGAAACGTATCCTAGTATTTTTCAAAAATCGCTATTTTAAGAACAATTTCATAGATCATAATGTTCATTTCATTTTTCGACCCAGATTTTTGAAATAGCTCAGAAAAACAAAGATTACCCCATTATTAACAATGTATTATTTTTCATTACTGCCGAAATGGCCATTATCCACTAAAATACAATACAAATTAAATTGGTGACCTACAACTTTTTAACTCAATATTTTTATATTGTCCGGAAATAAAAATGTTTGGAAAATGGATAATTTTTGTGTTTTTGAAGTCATGTGTAGGCTACTACCTTAAATTAAAGATCTAAATTACCCATCATGCTGTCTGTACATTCTAAACACACATGATACAGAGTTTGTGTGGTTTACATGTAGCGTGTGATACACAACTTAGATACTTCCATTAGTACCGTTTTGTTCCAGATTTAAGGATTTCTTTGTACTCAAAATGGTATCATATTGCAATTTTACGTATAATAGTTTTTAAACTACCTTAGGTTATTTAACGGGTATTAATATTCCTTTAAATCAAATATTTTTGTCACGATTACGTTGCTCCTGCTACCCATTGTATATTGAACTTGACCAAAAGTGGAATGACATTGAAATTGACTACCATTTTGCGCTTGTGTGCTTGCCACAAGCCACCACTGATTCATGCAATTGGTGACCTCAATTGGTGCGAATTTGCTTAAATGATTTTTTTGCATTATACTATTCTTAATTTCATGAATACTTAATTCTGTAGTTTGGGGCACGAACCATACAAGTAACAAACAAATAAAGTCCATATCCTAGTAAGTTGCGTCTTCTGAACTTGACTGAGAAGGAATTGTGGTTGGGATTGACAAATTATAAATATTATTAATGATAAATATTCAAAATAACATTTACCTGCTGAAGTTGATTTTTGTTTGGTTTTAAGATGTACCATTTCACATATAAGGAGAGAATTCCTAATATTTCAACAAATGGAAATCGAGTGATAGAGAATACATCATTTGTACAGCGATTTGCATGGAACTGGACATGGGGAGAAGTTGGCAGTATGGGCGTAACAAATGTGTCGTATTCTGTGGTTGATATGTTGTCCAATGCATCAAATGTTTACATTGGAGATATAATTCACTTGGATATATATGCTAAAGATAGTCATGGTAGACAGCGCGTACTCGGTGGTGATTACTGGAGGGCAATGATGGTAAATCGTAAGATGGAAGCAGCTACATTGGGTAAAATCGTGGACCACGATAATGGTTCTTACAGCATTCGATTTTATGCAGCTTGGTCTGGTCGTGCAGACATAGAAATATCTCTCATACACACACGGGAAGCTGTACGATTTTTGCGAAAGGAATATCAAGGAATAGGGGTCGTGCATTGGAAGGCAGTTTACGCAAATGACAGTCTGAACGAGACAGTTACGTGTATTCTAAAGCGTGAGGGAAGTTGGGACAAAATGTGTGAGATCAGGAGAAAAGAATTCGGAAGAACTATTTTGTTGTGTGATGTACCAAAACAGTTGACGTGTAGTGATATGCAGTATTTCCACTCGGGACCAAATGTCTATGATGAGTATATATTTAATGATTATCAAAAAGAGTTATTTGCAAAGTAAGTTGTGGATCACCTGTGGTGATGGTGAAGCATGCTTATACTATCAAAAGTGTCAAAACAATTGATGTACCTGAGTAATGTCTCGTATCTAGAATAGCTTCATTGATGAAAAATGTCTTCATAGTAGAAATAAAAGACATAATTGTGTTTATAATTAATTCTTATAATTTCAGGTCAGAAGCCAGTATTCAAAATATAACGTTGAATATCAAAGGTAAGATTGTCTAAGTGGCATAGATTAAAACATTTCAATGACTGACCAAATTTACACCCAAAAGGCTTATGTTATCAATAAGCCAAAAACTGTTGTTGTTTTTTTATTTGTCGTCATTTTTTATACAAACATTGCTGTTTTCATAACCACATTCACAGTTCAACGAATTTTCTATTCAGGTTTTCACAATAATTGTCATAGTTGATTTTCATCTATTTTATAAGATATCACTCAAAATCCATAATGTCGAATCTATATTTTTTTTGAATTTTAAACTTGTACAGATTCAACACAGCGAAATGGTAATGTGGAGACAGCTTTCTACATTGACGACAAATTGCAGCATCGGAAACATTTGCTGTCCGATGGTGTTTGGTTCAATGGATCTTGGTATAGTTACTGGCAGGAAAATAGAAATTTTGATCGATTTTCTTCTTTGAAGTGTCTGTCTAATTTCACAAATGTGTATCTACTAGGCGATTCCACAACCAGACAATGGTTCCTGAGTTTGAATCAGTTTCTAGGTATTAAGTACGATGATATAACATGGGACCCGCATTTTAAACCCAATTCATGTAACGATAAAATACAAACCCGTGGTCTGAGCAAGCATGGTCATTTAACTTTGCAGTTCTTCTTTCATCCATTTCCTTTGGGGCAATTGTGCTTTGTGCCGCAAAGCTATATGGTTGAAGATGACGTCATCCGCATAGCGACATGCAGAAGTGTTATAGTTTTTGGTTTGTGGGCGCATTATCTAATGTGGACAGAAGACTCATTTGAAGAAAGACTCCAGTATGTAAAAGCTTCTCTGTGGCATTTTTATCAAAGATGCCCGGAGTCTAGGATAATTGTCCGTGGTTCACATGTCTTGAGCGATGGTCAATGGCGAAAGAATATGGCGAATAGCGACGTGCTTCTATTGGACCTTAATCGAATAATCAAAAAAGTGTTTAATGTAGAATGGGTACACTTTCTGGACACGTGGGATTTAAATCGGGCGTATTTGCATACGCACGAAGTGCACATGCCTAACAGTGTTGTTGCAGAGGAAATTAAGTTATTACTTTCGTATATATGTGTTACTAATTAACAAGTTTTGTACCAAATTGATGTGTTACATTGAGTAATATAGTAGTCAAATTGATACAAAATAATATATTCCATAACTCAGTTTGCAATCTTTTAGAGAATTACAAACCCCATATAGCCTGTAGAGATGTGTCCACGTTTTATAAAAAGGTAGCAGCAACGTCAATATCTTAAAGCCATTTGACAAGAAATCACTCCCTGTCACAACATCACAGACACTACTATTGTGGTAATTGGTCTGTTCCCTTGTTTTGGGTTTTACCACTTTGTTGTCAGTAACATATAGGCCATGGCCACCTAACGATTGGCCAATTTGGTTCTCTAAATTTGCTCACCACGTACATAATATGTTATATGTAGATTGACTACATTGGGCAAAAATGGAAAACTTGTCTTATTAACTATCATGATCATCATACACGTCTTTCGCACTGTAATAGTGCTTACTATATATTTATAAATTAAATTAAATATAATATTTCTCCCAGCCCAGATGCATCTTGATCTACATTTGGTAACATAATAGAATTTCAATGGTAATATATATTAACGGAAGTCCTGATAAACTCAGAACTACACGTGTCACCATTGGTTGACTATTCAGTTCAATTCAACTGGTTATCTTCATTTCATTCAAACATTTTAAGCAAATAAGGACATGTACGCCAGGTTAATCGATTGAAACCAGTTTTCTTATTGTCAGCATCCTTTAGTCTAGTATGTATTTTTTTTACCTCAAACCTTGCAAATGAAAGTGTGCATGAAATCATGAGAAGAAAGGGTGTGCATTGCCGTGTGATAACTGTCATAAAGGTGATTGACAGGTCATACTTGTTTACAACTCTGGAAGGACAATTGGAATCTACCAGGTGTGCTTGTGATCTACTGAGACAGCTGCTAGCAAGACCGCGTTCTGATTGGCTCATGTGAAAACCCAGGTAGTGTCCCTGAATCTGGGCCATTTATGCCATATAACTAGGCTAGACTGAGGACAGCTGGGGCCCACCATTTCAACTGTGTACCATGTGTGTTGCTGCTGCAATATTGTGAGACAAGTGTTACAGGCTTCAATCATTTATGAGACTTGTATGAACTTCTCTGCGATCTCCTGCTTTCAGTGGTGCCCTCAAGAATAACAGCGTTGTTCTGCAAGCAAGACTCCTATATTTGTTAGTTGCTGTGTTGCAGAAGCAATTGACTGAAAACAATTTCCACTTCCTTAACTACAGGAAATCCCCTATTTTAGTGAATTTATGCATTGTATTATTTTGTGTTTCTTGTAATTATTTTTGAAAAGATTAAAGCCACACGCTTTAACTCGATATTTTGGTGTATGTGTATTTCATTTCCAGTACTATATTGTCTTGTCTATCCCATACTAGCAATGACAGAACCCCCTGTCCAGTGTGAGTTCTGTGGATGTCCCTCTCAATTGCGATAAGCAGGTCTTACACTGTGAAACAAAAGTTCTAGTTTGATAACTTGTATGATTAGAGTTTATCGTAAATATAGTATCCTGTCTTTTGCACACAATTTAGTATATACTAAGTATATATTTATATAATGGGTTATGTATATTGTTATATTACATCAAACAAACATCAGAATTATTGGTAAAAATGTTATTGACTAAATTTATTTAGAGCATTGCCATCAATGAGTACTGTCTGTGTTATTTGTATATATCCTTTGCAATTGAGGTGGTGCTTGGGTTGAGCCTTTAATTCCTTACAATGTTACCATGTTCTAGTGTGAAATGTCTGGTTATTCATAAAATAAATTACCTTGTGTTTTCATCAGACCGTTATCATTTTCACAGATACATATTTTGTAAGCCTGTCTCGCAGCTCGGTTTTGTTGTTGGTCTGTTTAAATTTAATCATACATTAAGTTTATTCTGAAATTTTGATTGTTGAGCGTATTTTGCTGGTGAATATTTATTATTGTCATAATCAACAAGAATGGCAGTAGAGATGTAGTAATCGATATGAACATTGCTAATGAATTACTCGTAATATGGTGTAATGTTGTTTAGTGTAACCTTGACACAAGGTGCTGTCACACTGGTCCGATGTACTATCCCTAGTGGTCGCGAGTGCAGGTGTATTAATTAGTCCCAATGCTTCTTCAAACTCCTGTATCTAGTCATTGGGAAGATCGTAGTAAATATGTTTCAGGTTACAATGCTTATGCAGTTCAAACAACCCACTAACGTTGACATAATCATTGCCGCGTTAACATAATCACAGCCACACACTTTTTCTATGGTTGTTTAAATGGGTAAATAACAAGTTTTTAACTCCTTTGTTGGGAATTTGTCGGATTGATGGCTCCCAAATATTTTTATTTTTACTCCGCCCACCATGTCTTGGATTCAAACTTCGAAGTTGTCAACTTTGAAATCGACATTTTTCAAAACACGTGGTACATCAATATTTTTGAAACCGGACAACGCTGTGAATGGGCATTGCATCAAACGCAATCCAAGGACCACCTACATTTACCAACATTGCTTTAAATAGCCAATATACACCGCTTTATGCATATGCAAATATTCGAATGTTTGATATGCAAAGTATGAAATGACGCCGAGACCGTGCAGGGATAATGTACCCAATGGTGTATGCAAAAATGATCAATCAACGATCAATCAAAATCATTTTTTTTAAAGACTTTAATGAAGACAAGAGAAATCGTTTGTGCTGTGCTAGTGTCATTAATAATCAATAGCTTTTTGTGAATTGTTTGTCCATGGTGTACTGGTGAGTTTCCGAATGATATATGGCGTGTGCTACACCCCAAGCAGGATCTGCTCACTCGATTCGAAACACCTGACACCTTATTGATTATACTATGTTATGATATTCTTTTCAGTTGTTTTGTTTTGTTCTTCTGGGTTTTTCTATTATCTATTTCATTACGTCCTCCAGTCATTTTTTTCCCCTGTGTACGCTGGTCTGAGCCTCTCAAGACCGAATATACGTGATTCCGGCGTTTCGTACTAAATGCTTTCTATTAATAATATTCATGAGATATGTCTACGTCATAACCTCGTTAAAGGTTATTAGCATATTGTGTACGCAGTGCGCATGCTTCTGGCCTTTTTTCCGTATTCCACAACGTATTCCACGCATAAGCGACGCTGCCAGATATTTACAACAGCTAACAAGCCAGCGATTGCTGATAATTTGTACACACTCCCACCATGTCATATGCAATGACAATTCTGGTTTTCCCTCGATTATGTGATCCTCTGACTATTGTGTATAATCATGAAGGTAATAAGAATTACCTCCATGGTATAATTCACATTCATTGGTTAAATTTAATGACGGGTGGCAATCGCTCGATCATTTGCTCTAAGTCGGGTTAGTAGACGCCAATATGTTACGGGAGTTTTTTTTAAATGTTCAACGTTCTATTAGCTACAAGGAAATCTAATCTAATTATTGATTGTTATTAATGTATAATACACGTATTAGCAGGACGATGATAACGCAATTCTTTTAATTCAATGTCTGTGTCATACAATTTATGTGTCCATACCCCCATAGTAGTTTGACAGAATCCCTAATTACAATTACCGGTATAATATTAATGATGGAAAATATGATACATTACGTACTAAATGGATATCTCTTCAAAGAGAAGTGATAAATGATTTATTAATTTTGAAAATTTATAATTATCATTTTCTGCATAATTTGCCTTTGTATTTCTTATTCAGACTACTGGGCATCACCGTGTCGAACTTGCATACATATTTTGCATCATTTACATACTTTGCATAAATTATTATTAGACTAACTGAAGTATAGATATAAATATCGAAATGAACATTGCTGATTGGTGGATATGGTGTGATGTCATCGTACCATCTGAGTGTGGGAGAATTACATCCTCTAACAAGACATCAATGTCATCCCCCGCTTTGGACATAACGATGAAAAAACGTTCGTTCTCATCGTAAGGAGCAGCCAATGACAAACTAACTGGGTCGACTTCTGTGGGTAGATTTCCTGTTCCATCTGTACATTCCACAGGCTGAACATCAGCTAGGACTGCTGAAATACTGCCTTTATCGACCACTTTGAACGAGTAACAGTCACTGGGACTAAGAGCATCAGATACTCCTTCAACGGGTGATGTAACTGATTCTAATCGAACTTCACCATCACGTCCAATGTACAGCCGCAGACCGTCTTCAATCATTTTCAAATTACTTATGCCAGAGGAACGAATATATATTTCTACACCGTCCCCTGCTGCATATGTGTCTTCATCAACACGGAATACAAACTGTATTGTACCAGTGATTTCCAATGCCTCCAAGGACTCAGTCCCTGCTTGATATTCGTATTTCGATTCGATAAATGCCCCACGATCTACACCAACTAGTCCAACACTATCTGTACTGAGGTATACATAGTCACCGATTGCCTGAGACTCTATGACGTTCCACAAAGTGCTGTCCCACTGATCTGACGTACCATCACTAGTGGTCGGTACAGGCGTAGTAAGTAGCGCCAATGCATCTTCAAACTCCTGCATTAGTTCATCGGTCAGATCGTAGTAAATTCGTTTTATGTCACCATGTTTACGGAGCTCGACCAACCCTTGGACGTCGACATTGTCATTGCTACCTGTCCACACTGTAATAGAGAAGTCATGCCGAACCCCAAGTATCCATACAAACTTGTTCCATGATGTAATGGACCAGACAGCGCGTACGGGGAAAGTCACAGGCTGCTTAGATGGATAACTGTAAAACATGTTGTCGAATATCATAGTCCAGGTATACATGTCACTTTTGAAAGGTATCCATGATGTCGTCCATCCCAGGGATAGGACAGCTGTAGGGAAGCCATCATTTATTTTGCTGATAAATTCAACTGGAGGGACTGGATCGCCGCCATTTGGACCCTTCACTATATCTGCATTTAACCATAGTGGCTGATGAATTCTATCTTCATAAAAATTTATGATATCCATGGAGTCTGTGACAACGTTAATGTCTTTGAAATCCATCTTCATGCCTTTGTCTGTTTCTGTACATTGGACAAGCCACTCTTCTAATGTAAGATCACTGTATACGTCTGGGGGATGTGCCATGATGGGGATACCTGTGTTGTTTTCTGCACTTACGTCTGCTTCTAACATCATTGTATCATCTGTAAGCCAAAATTGAGAAATCAGTGTATGAAAATGTATGGCGTTTATCATTTATCTGAATGAGATCTTCAATGATCGTATTATCGTAAATCATGAACCCCGACTAAATCATGATTCTGCAATAAATCATTCACTAAATAATTCACAAGAAGTAACTTCTTAGTTTAATGATTTATTCCTTCATTTATGTTATAAGTGAGATAGAACCCTTTTAAAAATATTATGTCATATTTATCAAACCAAGACATTCTGGTTTAATATTTTAGTGTTTATTTTCATAGAACTGTGTCATATACCATCTTGGTCATGTGGTTAATTTTCTGGCCTTTTCTTTATTACCGTAAATAATCAATTGTCTCTTAGTCTTTTATAATACAAATTGTAAATTACTCTGTTTGTGATTATATAGAGATTGTAAATATCAATTGTAAACCGACATTGTACTATTCTGACATTTATTGTGAACTGCTATTGTAAGGCCAGACTTTTTTTATTCCTTTATTTCTCGAGTTTTTATAAGGCAATTTTTTTGAAGAGGGCAGAAAAAAATAAAATTAATTTTGTTTCCATTGAATTTGTGTGATTCTCAAAGAATTGTAAGTGAGATCATTGATTGGCGAGAAGAAATGAAATACAATTTTATTCCATGTATAACCTTGTTTCTCATCCGCGCGAGACTTCGGTACTTTGATCATGATACTCCCACGAAAATGCAACTTGGGTTCGTTATGCGGCGGGCGGAAAAAAATTGAAGATAAAAATAAGTTTTTTTAGCAATTTTTTGCACTTACAAGTCGGCGGGCGCGAGAAATTACGCTGAAATAAAATTTTATTTTTATTTAATGTTCGGCTCCTGTTCATTCGGCGGGTTCGCGAAACAAGAGATAATACAAGTCTGGCCTGAAGATCACATAATTTCTGTATATTCGATACCGTCTAGTCATTTACAATTTACAACATACAATTGTAAAACCACTTACTAACCATGAGAGGTAAGTCCTTTAGAACATCTGGTTAATACATCAAAGTTAATGTATAATCAAGTTATTTCTTATCGAAAGTTTAATGAGCAACAGTGGGTTAATATCTGTAAACCCAATTCCAATACATATTCAAAGTTTCATTTCAATCAGATATATTTTTTTTTAATTTTACTTAAATTCCACCAAGTAAATGGCTAACATCTAGGATTAGTATATGTGACATGTACCTGTCAATGCTTCATCCAATTCTGCTTGACTATTCACAGCGTGTGCCCACACTATGTTCAAACCATCTCCCTCTGCACCCGGGAAGTAATCTAGAATATTGTCCATTGTGTGCGAACTTTGTGCATCTGAAATAAACATTATTTAATCCGGTGGTTTCTTACATTTGACATGAAATATGAGAAATGAAAATGAAGTTTATGTTGTGTGGCGCTCTTATTTCTCGTAGCCTCAGAACTTTTCGTTTAATTGTGGAGGTTAATTTTTAAGGTTAAGTTTAACACTATCATGATATGAATACTCATGACATTTGTGTCAGGGCGCTATTCAGTCTGTGACAAACCCTGGGTGAACTCAGTATAATTGGGCGTCTTAATACCAAACAAAAGTTATTATCATGCGTATTGTTATTTGAAACACGAATGTGTGTTTTAAAATCCTGTCAGCGGAAGTGTTCACGATTAGTTTAATGTTATGAACAGAGTAGGTCATAACAAGGTGATTGTTTATATAGCTTCGGAGAGGTTTAAAGCGGAGGGAGTCGTCACCAGTGCATGCGTCAGATGGCCATAGCGTGTCCTTGTTTACAAACAAGCGTATACCCATGAGCCTTTGCGTTTCAGCATTTGTTTGTTTTCGTCGGTTGGGACTCAATTCCCGCGCGTGCGCAGGGGAAGACCCTCCCGCTTTAAGTCAGTAATTTCAAAGACGTATCAAAACCTAACGCCTTTGCTTGTAGTGAAATATAGCGTTCGAGTTGGGCGCGCTTAGACTAGACAAAGAACTTCACATGTGGGCGGACAAAATCCACGTTTGTTTATTTATTCAATACAGAATTTTTGACAGGGGCTGTGACAGTTACAATGACATTATTCAACTTTTGCCATAACTAATTTATCCATGAATTCCTGATCTATTGATCAACCCCTCAAATCAGACAGATTGGCAAATGATGCCTGGTAATACGAGATATGTGCTATAATTGTGTGTTTTTTCGAATTTACAAACATAACCGAAAGTATAATCGGAACCATGGAACCATGGATATTACTTGTTGGAAATATAAAAATGCCGAAGCATGTCACAAAAATAGGGTTCATTTTTGAACCCACGAAGTCTCAAATTCATACTCAGTATGAAGTATAAAAGGGGCCTCAATGAGCAGTCATTGAAAATCAATAAAAAGTGTCCTTCAAGTATAAAGATTCGCTATTTATGGTAGGAAAATCAGCAAAAAAGCTTTCTCCGAGCATAAAATATAATAATTTTATAAAATGACTAACAACATATCTAGATATCTAAAGTAAATAATTAATGTAAATATATTTATTTGCTTAATGTTTCAGAGGCGTATAAATCTACCAAGATAGAACACTACAATAAAAGTGATGGATGTAAGAGATACTGGTATCTCGTTTGATTGATGTTGTACGCAGCCATGATGGCCTGAACATAAACAGTCCCTTGTAGATAAGAATACTAGTAGTCTGTGCTGCGATTTGGTATAGATGCCGTCATAATGTACAATTTAAATATGTTTCCATAGGAGGCAGGGTAGTGATTTATCGGGTGTTGTAGCAGAGAAAAAAACGTGAAGTGTACTGAGCGGGTGTGTCGGGTGTACGTTGGCCGTGTGGAATAGCGATATCTCCACTCTGTATTCGACACCGGGGTGACACCGCCAGTTAACGCTAAACTTCAAATTACGGCATTGTGACCAGGGAAGTATAAATTTACTGCAACGAGCATACCATAGTTTATACGTACCTGCCTGTAATGTGACGCTTGTCAGCACCAGAACAAATCCTGCCCAACTCGCCATTATAAGTGAGTACTCCCAGAGAGCAGCGGTCCATATAAAAAGTTAGTACAAAGAGTTCAAAGTTCATTTGATTAGGGGCTTGACCTAGCTTCACAACAGAGCGCTGTCTACGACATCCAGCCGAGACGATCGAGGTACAAGCATGTTGCATGTTTTATTTTACCCTGTTTTTATGAAAATTACACATGAATGTTATTAGTAATTTCGTCATCATAATTATAATGCATTATGTAATCACGTAATTAAAATTTATTTTGATTAGTGCCACATACATATTCATTTTGGAAAATTTTCGTAAATACTTTTCTAAAATAATACATCACCATTTCTGTATGGGTTTACAGAATTTTAAAAATCCTTCTTAATGCAGAACTATAATTCTAATATATTTTGCCTATTATAAGCCACATGGTGGCCATTTTGAATATATATGCAAATTAATATTTTTGGAAAAGGTTAAGGTTGGTTGGCTAGTTTTTGAAGACGCCGAAAACAGACTCCATCTCTTTTGCAGTATATTTTATGTACTGGTTTATTACCAAACGCTTCAGCGTGGTATTAAGATTTTGTTTTCAGGCTTGGGTGGTACCAAGGTGGAAAATGGTTGCACATATGGGGGGTAATTCCTGGAATTGCAATAGAGAGGGTTCAGGCCGAAATACATATATATAGTGTTTTCATGTTTCGTCTGATATTTCTGTGGTATTCTGCTGCTGTAAATAATGCAAGATTTGTTCCGA